TGGAAGACAATTGAGAGAGGCACAGAGGGTCAGGAAATTGAATAAAAATAGGTAGCAAGGGAGATGAGGAACCAGAGATTGCCACTGGTGGGTCCCAAACACCAGAGAAATGTGAGGCTCCCAGGACCCAGTAGGATTGACTTTAGCTGTAATGCACAGAGAAGGGTGAGATAGAACCTGTGGAGACCACCTCCAGTAGATAGGCACAGCCCCTGGTCGAGGGATGGAGCCACCCACCATCTCAAAGTTCTTTTTACCCAGAAATGTTTCTGTCCAAAGGAAAAGCAGGAAAAAAAATGGAACAGAGACTGAAGGAAGGGCCAACTGGGGAATGGCCCCACCTGAGGATATATCATGTCTGCAGACACCAAACCATGGTCAAGAGGCACTTGCAGACAGGAACCAAGTGAGGCAATTCCTGGGAAGGTCCAGCCAGCAACTGGCCAATTCAGAGGTGGATTCTTGAAGCCAACCATCAGGCTGATCTCAGGGAACCTGATGGGGGAGCTGGTGGAAGGACTGGAGGAGTGGAGGGGGATTGCAACCCCACTGGAAGAACAACATAGACTAGCCTGACCACCCAGTTCTCCCAGAAACTAGACCACCAACCAAGGAGTGTACCAAAAGAGATCTTTGTCTCCAGATACATATGCAGCAGAGGATAACCTTGCCTGACAACAAAGAGAGGAGAGGCCCTTGGTCCCGGAGAGGTTTGATGTCCCAGAGCAGGGGGATGCTGAAACGGTAGGGCAGGAGAGTGTGGATGGGTAGGGGAGCACTCTGATACAGGCAAAAGGGATGGAGGAGGGGTAACCAGGAAGTGGGATATCATGGGATGGGGAGTTGTTAGAGGGGTAACTGGGAAGTGGGATAGATATCATTTGAGATGTAAACAAATAGAATGATTAATAAAAAAATTTTTAAAAAGGGAACGGAAAGCCACTTTGTGGTAGCTGATTTTTACATTGCTGTTTCTACATATCTAATAAGGATCAGCTTATAAGAGAATGGCTCTATTTTGATTCACAGTTTCAAAAGATACTGTCTACCCTGCAGGAGAAGGCACAGCGGTGGGCAGCTGCATGGTGTCGGAAGTGAGGAGCTAGGACTCTGCTTTTTTGTATCTTGGCAGAATAAGAAGTAAAGAGCAGACAGGAAGTGGAGCAGGGCCATAAAACCTCAAGGTCTGCCCCCACTGACCAACTTCTCCAGGCTGGCTTTACCTCCAAAAACTACTACAACTTTCCAAAGCAGTGAAGTCATCAGGAATGAAATGTTCAAACACATGATCTTGGAGTATATTTCACATTCAAAGCACAATGTGTCAAACAGATTATTATTCATTTATTTGTAGTTCTGGGAATTGAACTTATGACCTCATGGATACTAAACAAGTGCTCTAGAGATACACCTTAACCACTCCCTTCCTCTATTCTTTAGTTTTTATGGCCCAGGGATTTGTTATGTTCCTTAGGCTAGCTGTAGTGTGTATCCTAGGCAAGCATTGAATTTGCCAGCTTCTTGTTGGCACCTTTCAAGTAGCTGAGTGATGCAACCAGAGAGGGACAGGCTCTCTTGCTTGATCTCATGATCCTGGGGCCAGCTCTCCCTACTATTGCAGGTGATGACCGGCTAGGAGGGTAGAGCACCATTCCTGTCTACTCGCCACTTCCTGGCAGATGGATGGCGGAGCGGGGTGGGGGCAGGTCTCCAGTACTCCCGCCCTTGGGGCTGGCTCATCTGCACTAATACCACTAGGGTCAGTTCTGCTGTGCTGTTCAGGCGAGGTGCAGGGCCTGCTCTCCCAAGTGCTGCAGTTGATGAGGGGCAGAACTAGCTTTCCTCTGCTCATGACCTTGTGGGTAGCTTTCCTAACTGTCAGAGATAGGTCTCCCACTCTCGAGCCTTGCGGGCCGGCTCATCCATACCCACCAGAGCCAGCTCCACTGTGCTCCAATGTGCCTCAGTACTGCAATGGTGAGACCTGGGGGCCAGCTCTCCAGAGTACTGCAACAAGCAAGGAGCAGCGGCAGTTCTCTATAGCTCTTGAATATCCACGTGGTCCCTGTTGGCTACCCCACCAGAAATGTACCCACGTTCTCTAGTGTTAATATGAGATACGGACATGACACTGAAGTCTGCTGTTGCATAGCCAGGGACCCAGACATGGCCCTCAGTGGCAGCTTGGGCTGGGACCTCACTACGACCCCAGTGGATGGGGCTGGCCACTCACAACAGGCTACTCTTCCTCGCCTTTGAATGTCCAGTTTTATCTCTGTTCAGAATGCTCTAGCTGTTCTGCTTTTTTTCTCTTCCATATGACCACCGCGTACTCAGATATTTTGGTACCTCCCACTACAGCCTGGCCACAGGCTATGCTGGCAAGCCCCTGGGTGACATTCTCCATCTGCTCTACATGGTGTGGCAGCAAACGGGTGTTTATGACCAGGCTGTGCTGTGTGAGGGGGCAGGTCTGTGGACGGTATAGTGGTCCCTAGGTCTCTGTCTATCTTTCATCTTTTTCCCTGTACTGTGTGGTGGTAGCGGAGCTCTGTGTATCTATGGCCCATCTATGCTGAGGGGTAGAGGGCAGGTCTGTGAACATCTTCTTTCCCTGCCTGTACCATATAACATGGCAGACATAGGCCTCTGTCTGTCTTCCTCCTCCCATGGTCTGCTGCCTGGATTTTATTTGATTTGATTTTTTATGTACCACAGGCATCAAGCTAGCATAAACAAAAACCTCCCTTTTGCTCTACCCCTGACTGATAAAAGAACAACAAGGTGTCTCTTTGCCCATTGCCAGGAAAAAGGAGGACGGAAGATAATATTTTCAAAAATTTTATTTTCCTGCATAGTTCCTCTGTTAGCTCTTTTCTGTTTTTCTCTGTTCTTTTTTTGTTTCTTTCCACCCTATTTGTATCTCTGCCCTCTATAAGAAGTCTGGTGATTCTTTTCCACAGATTGCATATTTAGCAGTAAGTGGGTTAGGAACATGTTGGTTGGTATTAGAGAAGAGATGATATTTCCAGACTATATCCTTCATGACTCTTCAGTTTTGTCATTTTGTACTGTCGGGACTTTTGAAAGAAGTCTTCCTGTTGCCTGGAGGAGATATTGTCAAGACTCGGAGAATTTAGTGAGTAAAAAACTGGAAGCGTCTTCATTTATGATGCAAACTTTTATTTACTCCCTCACCTATGCCTAGTATGGCTCGAGACCACATTTAATATTTTACCTTTGAAATGACGACAAATTTGAACCTTGGTTGAAAGTCATTGTTGAGTAGAGGATGGGCTGTGAGGGTCCAAGTGCTTCTTACATAAATCCCCAACAGGTCTCTCTGTGTCAGCCCAACCACTACTCTCCCTGTTGTGGTGGCAAATGTCACCACAGATCCCGTAGCCTTTCCTTCCCTACTTAAACCTGTGGCTCGGAGCTCCTTCTGTCTGGGGCGTGCCCAGGGCTTATCTACGTCACTCTTTCCAGATTGTGATGCTGTAAACATCTGCTTTTTAAATAATCTCATTTCCCTCTTTTTCATGTGGCTTTAGGAATCTAAAGATTCTCCAGTTCTAGAGATCTGTTGTCTTCGCTTAGAAATTCTATGTATGTTTTATAAACATCTTACCTGTCAAGTATTTTAAACCCTAATGCACCACTTGATTCACTGTCAGTTAAATGTTTAATTCTCGCCTCTTAATTTCTACATAGCAGTCAAGATTTAACCACTCACGACAATTTAAAATATTTTTCTTCAACTTGTACACATTGCAAGTTCCTGGCTTGTCTTAAAACTTCCCACCCCATACCCAGCCTTCCTGGCTCCTTCTCTTCCCATCACCATCAAAAGCTGCACTGTCTTATTGAGCAGGCTTAGAGTCTCTCTTCATTTTAGTTACTTCCCTGTGTGTAGATGACACAATCTAAGTTTTTACGGCAACTCCAGCACTCGATGTTACTTATGAGAAAGAGATTTCTCTCTCCAATGGTTTAGTTGCCTTCTTTTAGACACCACTAAGGCAGTGTAGAGTCAATAAAAGCTTATGCTGTTACATCCCCACACTTGACTTTCTTTCAACATTCTATCTTGGAAAAGTCAGTACCCAAGTATTCAAGCTAAAGATTAGGTTTATCTTGAATCCCCCCCTTTCATCCCATGGGATTCTATATTTCTCCAAATTCTACAGCTATTGTGGCAAGCACAAGTGCAAGCCACTTTCTATTCTCCATATTTACCACCAATATGTCTTCCAAATACAAGCATCTCTCACCAGAATTGGTTAACCAGCCTCCTTACCCACCTTCCTGATTCTATGCCCTCAAATTCTTATCTCAATTACAGGCTAACTCTCATACCCTCTTTCCGAAAGACTAAATGAGCTTTCATGTCTCTGCTTGAAATACTGTCTTATTTGCATCTTGGATGTAGGCTTACATCCTTAGCTTTGGTGGCATTATGGAGGATGTAGCCCATCCCTAATCCAGCTTCATCTTCAATTGTGCTAATCTCTCACTTTTCCAAACTTTTAGTCTTACTATTCATGTTTATTTCCTTGAGTGCTCTGGGGCCATTTCTGACACAGAGCTTCTGAACATGCTGTTACCTCTCTGTTGTCTAATGACTAAGATCTTGATTTCTAAATCCTCAGGTGTTAATCTCTTACAGTGTGAACTAAGTTTTCCATCTTGGGTTCTTCTCTGTTTCATAATAATGTATTTATTTACACACATGTATTACCACCATATTAAGAATTTCCAGAATAGCTTTGGGTATCTCTTTTGGGTATTTGTATCCTCTGCACAAAATAGTCTACAGTACACAGTTAATACTTGCAATTGCACTGTGAGGGAAGAATATAGTCAACATAAAAAAATTAGCCATCACTGATAGAAGCAATCTGTATTTTCATGATAAATTGAGACATGCATATGAGTTTCAAGAAAATATTTTTCAAGGAAGATATTGTTCTAGAGAATAACCATTGACACTGCCTTACTTTCTTTGTTTTGCCCATTGCCTTCAGGATGGAGAGATTCAGGTCTTCAAGTGCGGCCAGGACATTCTCATATTCACCCAAGTGCTGAGAAAAATATTCTGGAAAGTAAAAGTATTAAAATAATTTTATATTGGGGTTTAGATAATCATAAAACAAAAATCATAAAAACAACTGATAATTTACTTCATAAATCAGTAAGCAAATAGTGGGTTTATATAAGTGATAACTGAAAATCTTTCAAATGACTTTAAGGTAATAGACTAATTTCATTGGAAAAGAAATTACCTACAAAAAGTGTTCTTTTTTACAAAAATGTGGGTGGGTGGGACATGAATCAGGGCATGACGGCAAGGTTGAGTTAGTAAAATGTTCTTCTCAACAGTAGATTTATTAGCCATTCCACTAGGATAGTGATTTCAGAAAAAAATGTAAAAATGTTTTCGTTTTTTTCTAGGGCACATTTAGGAAGGTTAGCTTTCCCTCAAGGTTTGATGCTGCAAAATCACAAGGGAGGCCATCTGGGGCTCTACCCATGGGCACACTTCTGTCACATGTAAAAGCAACTCATGACTTCAGAGATTTATTTCAATGGAGCAAAAGCCATGTTTGTCATATTTTTCCATTGCTAGGGATAAATAATGCCTTGGAAATTATGATTAAAATGAAAATGTGGAACACAAAATAATTTCAAATTAGTTGAAATGTAATACAGATAAAGGGAAACTTCACTTATAGAACTCCGATTTCTAAAATCATGGACATCTAATGTTAACAAAACTTCATATATTAGAAGGAGCAGAGCTTTTATTTACCATGTAAATAGTCTTTACCACTTCTGTGAACCATCTATTGATGAACTACTACTCTTATCATCATATTTATGTATTACCATTATACTTTAGAAATTACGTTAAAATCACATAGAGATTTCAATTACTGGGGCATACAGTAACATGTTTCATAAAAATGCTTTTATTAATTTAGTAAATCTCCAGATAGGGAATTTGATGACAATGGTATTAGCAAAAGTGGAGACTGGAGGTATAAATCAGTTGGCTAGTATGCTTGTTGAACATGCGCAAAGCCTTGGTTTCCATACCTGATACCATATAAGCCATATATCCCTGGTGGTGCATGCCTATAATTCCAGAATTTAGGAGCTAGAGACAGCAGGATCATGTATTTAAGGTCATCCTTACCTACAGAGAGTTTAAGTCAAACCTGGATTACAGAAGACTTTGTCTCAAAAATGAGACAATAAAAAACCTGGACAGTTGATGGATTGCATAGCCAATGTTTAAGCTTCTCTGAGAATGCAATACAGTGTACCAGAAGCATCCATGATTCCTGTCAAAATATAGCCTATACACACATAAATTAAAAATAAATGAAATAATTTTTTCCTAAAAGTAAAATGCATTCTTGATTTGGAAATCTTTAAAAAGCACCGTGACACATCTTTTATAGAAATTCTTTTAGGGAAGAATTAGTGACCTAATGAATGAGCAAATACTCTTTAAATGTATAAAAATTAATGGTTTAGGTCTTGGTTATATTACTAATTTCCTGATAAGGCTAGCTAAGATATTTGTTTTATCTGGGTAGTGATTATAATAAATTAAATCCATGTGGATACTCTTTATGAATCAATGTGCAGTTAAAATATTCATAAGATAGAAATAATATATATCAGGATAGAAGCAATATTAAGTTGAAATAAGCAAAATATGAAAAGAAAAATCCAGAAAAGAAAAGCTTGTTAATTAAGCAAGACTATAGAGGCATTTCACATATGAGAATTAAAAATTCATCCAGTGAAAATAAAAGAGAGAATTGAATGTTTTAAAGGTGTTGTACAATGAGGCTATGTTGACAGAAGAGTCCATTTTCAATTGAAAAAAGAAAACCCACCAGCCTGGAGGCTTCAGATTGGAACCTTTTAGGGTCTGGTTCATTTCCCTTCTTCCTCATTTTTGTTGTTCATCTTAACATGGACACAGTTAGAGTGGGAGCAACCACACTGTAAGTCATATACCAGCTAGCAATGACTATAACTTCGAGAAGGAATGGTACCAACTACAACGCCAGCCCTGATAAACAGCTTGAACTGGGAAGCCAAGTAAGGTGGTGAAGCTTGGTGTCATTGATGCCCTTTCACAGAAAGATGCTGCAATTTCTGGTGAGAAGGGAGGCCATACAAGATATAAACACTCCTTGCTTAGTCTAAGTTCCACCTTTTATCTTCAAATTGAGATCTGTGTTCTAGACTGTCTGTGGCAGTCCTCCAAGGCTTCCCAGCTTTTTCTTTCTGTGGACCAGTGGTTTGAACTTGCTAACACACACACACCACCTCAGGCCCACAGGCCAGCTGACTCACAAATGTGTTTTAATAAGACACTAGATGATTTATGGGAAGTATCAGTCCAAAGAACTTGGTAGAAATTGAGATTATTATTAAAGTCTCATCTACTACATCCAATTAGGTTTTGAATTAAGGCGCAGAAATCAGCATTTTCTAAAGATTTTGCAGAGTATGACAGGCAAATTATATTTAAGATGGCTATATACAACAGGTAGATAAAACATTTTGGAAAAAAAAAGGTGACATCCTCCAGCTTTTCTCAAAGACTTTACCTGGATGTGGTGTTGATGATTAGGGAGAGACAGTGAGGTTTCAATAGACAAGGGCAAGGATCATTGTCAGGAGGGATTTCATCACAGACTAAGGAACATGAATCAGCCAATATGGAGTAAAGGGAAGAAGAGGAAATGGCTGAGCTTGGAGTAATGTCATATTTCTGTCACTACACTATAGTAGTGACATATTTCTGTCACTAATCACTATTCTGTGATTTATTAATTAAATCACAATGTCAGTGTATACTAGGAAATTGCTTTTTGCCAATTATATGATATCATCAGAGAAAAGACGATTTGGAGCAAATATTGATCACTTGAAACACATGTCTTGCAGCCAAGTACATGGCTTGAACCTGAAAATGGACCCCCAGATAGAGTTATTAAATTAACAGGCTGGTAAACCAAAGACAGGTAAGATTCTGCACAAAGCCTTACCAACCTAAGACATGTATATTGCTTTTGATAATGCATATTCCATGATGGGTAAGGAAGGCATTCTTGTCAGAACGACCTAAGACAGGGTCAGTCTTGTTAATGAAATAAAAAAGGGGGGAGGTGGAGAGCCTTTGGGGCTGCTTGGCAAGAATCTGACATGGACCAAGGACAAGAAAATGGGCTGCTTGGCAGGAATATGACATTGGCCAGGGATAAGGAAGTAGGCTTCAGGCAGGCATCTGACATTAGGCTAGAACAAAGAAGTAATTTCAGGTAGAAACCTAAATATTAGGCTAGAACAAGGAAGTAGGCTTCAGACATGAAAATGACCTTGGGCTAGGACAGGGAAGTAGGCTCAGATACTTTGGTCATCCTGATAAGCCCTTAGAAACAATGATCATGGGAGTGTTCATGTAATTGGGTTTAATGCCTTGCTTTTTCTTTGACTACTTATGTTTATTGTATTGCTTGTTCCTTGACTATTTGCATCTATTGTATTGCTAGACCCTCAACCTAGAACTGACTTTAATACATGCATGTAATCAAAATGGTATAAAAGCATAAAGGAGGAGGGGGGATTCGATAGGGGGTTCTAGGGAGGGAAAAAAAGAGAAAGAAACACATGTCTTTGGGTAACAAGAGAAAATAAAATCTACTTTTATTGAAATACACAAATAAATTCCATGGATTAGCTGAAAACATAGTCATACAGCCTTTATAGAAAACTTAGAACCAGTTTTTCTCAGTTGATGTGAAGGACTTTTGAAAAGTAGTCTTGATACTGGTTGTGTCAATGGAAGAAAAGATTGCAATTCTTTTTTTTTTTTAAATATTTATTTATTTATTTTATTGATGAGTACACTGTAGCTGTCTTCACACACACCAGAAGAGGGCATCCAATCCCATTATGGATGGTTGTGAGCCACCATGTGGTTGCTGGGATTTGAACTCAGGACCTCTGGAAGAGCAGTCAGTGCTCTTAACCGCTGAGCCATCTCTCCAGCCCAAGATTGCAATTCTTAAACAGATACTTGAAGAACATCATCTTCCACAAAGCAAATTATCTTTCCATGCATAATCAGCACAACACCATCACTAATAAAATGCTCACAAGAGGTTAGATTTTCCATTCCCCTCAGCATGATATTAGTAGTGTTGGATTTTAGATTTTATTCTGTGATCCAATCTTCCAACTCTAGTTTGGTTTAAGAACAAAAGGGTCCATGGCTAACGCATCAGAGTAGGAACTTGTCTCAGAAAGCATTCTCTTGTGACCTTGAATGGCTTCTATTGTGTGTCCCTTGTTAGCACTTCCCTGCTTATAAGCCAGGCAGAAAGGGAAGTAAATGAGATAAGAGACAAGGCTTAATACTCTGTAATCTGCAGGATACAATCAGATAGAAATGTCCAGAAATGATTATTCTAATGCAGTTGGTCAATCAGTGTGGGTCAGTAGACTAGAAAAACCTTAACAGAAAAATACACTTTGAAGAAACATACATAGTCAAAATTCACCAATGGTTTTTCAGCTGGTATACTCACATGATGCAACATTATTAATTGAAAATGTTATTTATATATTATTCTCATAAATTAGACTGCAAAAATATTTTAAAATAATATTTTAAAAGATTTTGAGTTTTAATTCCATAATTGAACTAACTGATGAATTAAGGAAAAGCTTAATAAAGCTAACATGTAGATACCTAGAATACATAATTGGTTTCTAGGAGAAAGTATATGAAATCTCCTTTCTATGTCAGTCAAGCCTCATCCCTCCCACACCTACAGGAAATTTATATGAGATGTGACCTGACATATTTCACTTGCTGGCACTGAAACTTTGGCTCTGATTAAAACCCAACTTAAATATTTTATGCCCACAAAATAATGGGAAATGAAACTGCAATTTAGAAGTAAAAATGCATATTCTAGAGCAGAGCAGAGTATTATAACAAAATTATGAATATAATCACTGGATTTTAAAATTATAAAAACATTCTGTTCACTCAAAGCCCAATCAGTTCCCTTGCTAAAACTGTGGGGGAAGGGCAGCATTCAAATTATCCAATATAGACAGGGTACATAACTAATCAAATTTTGTTTTTATAAAGGAAAACAGAATCATGTATGGATGATTAAGTGAAGGCTTACTGTTGTGCTTTAACATTTGGCAGTTTTAGGAGCTGAGATATGCCTTAAGGACAAACAACAGAGTAATCAGAGAGGAGCCACTAAATGTTTTTGTCTTAAGACATATTAGCAATAGTTATGTTTTTCAGTCAGCTCATCTTACTCAGGCAACGTTAGTTGAGTATAAAAAGAATTACCTGAACAATTGGGGGAATTGTTACTTTGGTGTGCTGTACCTAGACATCTAAAAGAGACCGGTCTCTACCTTCACGAAATGATCAACGTGGTTGTCTTAGCTCTTCCCATTATCTCACACTCCACTGGCAGGGTCGGTCTACACAGGAGGATAGACTACAGCTTGAGCAGGGGCTGTCTACAC